CCACCACCTCACCACCACCACCTCACCTCACCTCACCCACTCACTCACTCACTCACCCACTCACTCACCCACCCACCCACTCACCCACCCACCCACCCACTCACTCACCCACCCACCCACTCACCCACCCACTCACTCACTCACCCACTCACTCACCCACCCACTCACCCACTCACTCACTCACTCACCCACTCACTCACTCACCCACTCACCCACCCACTCACCCACCCACTCACTCACTCACTCACCCACTCACTCACTCACCCACTCACCCACCCACTCACCCACCCACTCACTCACTCACCCACCCACCCACCCACTCACCCACTCACCCACCCACTCACCCACCCACTCACCCACCCACTCACCCACCCACTCACCCACTCACCCACCCACTCACCCACCCACTCACTCACTCACCCACCCACCCACCCACTCACCCACTCACCCACCCACTCACTCACTCACCCACCCACCCACTCACCCACTCACCCACCCACTCACCCACCCACTCACCCACCCACTCACTCACTCACCCACTCACCCACCCACTCACCCACCCACTCACTCACCCACCCACCCACCCACTCACCCACCCACTCACTCACTCACCCACCCACCCACTCACCCACTCACCCACCCACTCACCCACCCACTCACCCACCCACTCACCCACTCACCCACCCACTCACCCACTCACCCACCCACTCACCCACCCACTCACTCACTCACCCACTCACCCACCCACTCACCCACCCACTCACTCACTCACCCACCCACCCACTCACCCACCCACTCACCCACCCACTCACCCACTCACCCACCCACTCACCCACCCACTCACCCACTCACCCACCCACTCACCCACTCACCCACCCACTCACCCACTCACTCACTCACCCACTCACTCATTCACCCACTCACTCACCCACCCACCCACTCACCTCACCACCACCTCACCATCCCACTCACTCACCCACTCACTCACCCACCCACTCACTCACTCACCCACCCACTCACCACCTCACCCACTCACCCACTCACCCACTCACCCACCAACTCACTCACCCACCCACCCACTCACCCTTTCACTCACCACTCACTCACCGACTCACTCACCACTCACTCACCCACCTTCTCACTCACCCACGCACTCACCCACCCACCCACCCACTCCCGCACTCACTCACTCACCCACTCACTCACCCACCCACTCACCCACCCACCCACCCACTCACTCACCCACCCACCCACTCACCCACCCACTCACCCACTCACCCACCCACTCACTCACCCACCCACTCACCCACCCACTCACCCACTCACCCAGACACCCACCCACCCACTTAACCACTCACTCACCCACCCACCCACTCACCCACCCACTCATTCACTCACCCACTCACTCACCCACCCACTCACCGACCCACCCACCCACACACCCACCCACCCACTCACTCACTCACCCACTCACTCACCCACTCACTCACTCACCCACTCACCCACTCACTCACCCATTCACTCACCCACTCACTCACCCACTCACTCACTCACTCACCCACACACTCACCCACTCACTCACCCACTCACTCACCCACTCACTCACCCACCCACACACCCACCCACTCACACACCCACTCACACACTCACTCACCCACCCACTCACCCACCCACTCACTCACCTACTCACTCACCCACTCACTCACTCACTCACCCACCCACTCACTCACCCACCCACCCACACACCCACTCACTCACCCACCCACACACCCACCCACACACCCACCCACACACCCACCCACACACCCACCCACACACCCACTCACTCACTCACGCACCCACACCCCACCCACACACCCACCCACACACCCACTCACTCACCCACCCACACACCCACCCACACACCCACCCACTCACCCACCCACACACCCACTCACCCACCCACGCACTCACCCACCCACCCACCCACTCCCGCACTCACTCACTCACCCACTCACTCACCCACCCACTCACCCACCCACCCACCCACTCACTCACCCACCCACCCACTCACCCACCCACTCACCCACTCACCCACCCACTCACTCACCCACCCACTCACCCACCCACTCACCCACCCACTCACCCAGACACCCACCCACCCACTTAACCACTCACTCACCCACC